TCCGATCACCAATGCTTTACGCGGCGTGATGCAATGCAACGCAACGCAACGCGTAAAAAGACAGTATAAGTCATTATAATCTGTAATTATGTCCCCACTGGATGCAACAAATGCCTCGTTTGTAATGGGTTTTAATGTTTTTGTCTCGTCGCTCCGGCCGGGACACGGCATCACAATATGTTAAGGGGCGTAACATTTCTGTCACATGCTTGAGGTATTCGGCCAATCACAACACACTGTAGATCTGGCCAATCAGAGCACACCTCGCTTTTTTAGACCGATGAGCTTTGTAAAAATCGAGGCGTTTCAGAAAGGCGGGGCATAGAGGAGAAACAATAATGTACAGTATGTGGAAAATAATGTGTTTTTTTAACCTTAAACCGCATAAACACATTTCATTACACCAAATACACAAAATAATGTTCTTTTTAGCAGCATCATATGACCCCTTTAAGGCAAATAGCTCAGATGATTCGGCTTTGGAAGAATTTGATGAGAAACACTGAAGTTCACATTGAGACTTTTCATTGCATACGTTGACGTTTTGAGGCACTGTTGAGATTTTTTCTTTTAAAGACCTTATTTTTCTTTCTCAGGGAGGTTGCATATCCAAACTAGAGGAATTTATTCTTCAGCATCTGATCATTTTGGGCTCAGTGGGTCTTGGGATTGCGTTCATTCAGGTGAGCAGCTCTGATATGATTCCAGCGAATATTTTCACTCCTATTTGTATTTGCTGTCATGTTGTAGATTTTAACCTTCGGTCTTCCCTGTCTGTTCCAGATTGTAGGGATGATTTTTACCTGCTGCTTGTATCAAAGTTTGAAAGAAGAAATATACTGAAGAAGATACTCATTCACACCAATACTAAATAAGCCTTCCTACTGTGTCTGCATTACTGTCTGCTACTGTTTGGTTGTATGTTGTGTGTCATGAATACGTCACAGTAATGCAGGATGACAGGTCAATATGTCTTGGCTGCAGGACAGTCCTTCTGGAAAGTGAACTTAGCTTGCTTTGTTTTAAGCAAAGATTTTTAAAAGCAGTGTGTTCGAATTTTGATGTCAAAATGAAATCAGTGGAATTGTTTCATCTGATTTCTGTTAGTTTTGCTCTCACAGTGCCTTCAAATACATACAGAATTTGTCTGCCATTGATTATTAAACATTAGATAATTATTGGCACCCTTTCAGCATTAAAATGGGTTGTAATCTTTAATGACAGACATGAATTTTTACATGCTTTGTATGTAACATTTGTTCTATTAATAAAACATTAACATTAATTTATTTTCATCAAGTGGAAGTAATATTTAAGGTATTCACTGTGTCTGTATATTTTCTATAACCAAGGGTGATTAATAAAACATTTATGATATAAAATGTGCATACCACGTGTAAATATGCATATAGGAACTACTTGCACAGTAACTGTTTTACTCGGAACTTTATAACCGACTGACAATGAAAACAAGCAGCTGTTTAAATTATCTGTGTTTTTTATCGTAAATTCAATAAATTTATGACATTTCAGTAAATGTATATAGTAGGTTATTGTTGGAGTTAGTATTGCCATTATCGCTTGTTAATGGTCAGTCTTTATAAACAGCGAAAAACAGTACATTTGGTGATATAAAGCATATATAAAGCATCTAAACCTACATGTGTGATTGTGGCCAGTGCTGCATCTGCAGGTAAGACTCAAAACATCCCGTCAAACGAACATGCATATTTACAGTAAGGTAATCAGATTTCTGAAATGGGAACCGGGGACATTTTCTATTTGAGTGGGTGGTCAAAATATAATTGAAGTCCCACTTTTTATTATCAATGAATAAAAAAAAAACAAAAAACGGGGTCAGTACATTTTTGTATGTTTTTACGTTGTTTATTTATTGTAGGTTCCATATACTGTTACTGTAATTAATCATTATGATGATGTTTCTGAGTCAAACTGACCCTACATATTTGTTCTTATTTCTATATTTCTATAACAAAAAAAAGGAAAACGAATAGAAATGACAACATATGATAAATAAAACTATTTAAAAAAATTTTTTTAGCATTTTCTAACTGTATTTAATATTTTCATCCCCCCCTCACCCCCTCCCTGTATGGAATAATTACAACTTTATAATTTAACTTTTGAAATGCTATTTCAATTCAGATTGATTTGTATAGCGCTTTTCACAATACACATCGTTTCAAAGCAGCTTTACAGAAAATGCATGTATTTAATTTATTTAATGTTTGTGCTTTTGGAAATGGATATTTGCTATCCCTAATTAAGCTAATTATGAAGCATTCTTTTAAAAACATAAAACATATATAGGCTATGTACATACGTAAAATATGTAAATAAAATAATCAATGTAAAAGTCATAATACATTCAAATTAAACTTTACATTTTTCTAGTGTAATTAATGTTGCTTTTATGTGCTTTTTCATTTTGGCTCGAGAAAGATCTCATTTGTCTTTCGAATATTATTTATTCTAAATGCATTTATCCAATGATCAATTTAATCAAAAAGGCATAAAAAGTACCATGTGGACTTTGAACAATGATACTGTTTTGTTCCTAGACAGCACACGTACGTCTGCAAGACGTCTGTTAAAGATCGCTTCATCTGGAAAGCATCTGCTGTGTACAAACATCTGATAGACGTCTTTAAGATGTCAGTTTTACATTCATTCTAAATCATAAACATCTTAAAGACATCTTCTAAACGTCTATTTGACATCTGATAGGAAACGTCCTATAGACGTATTGCAGATGAGCAAACACTCTAAAAAATACGTCTTGCAGATGTAAATGCAGACATCTCGTGATGTACGTGTGCTATCAGGATTAGTGTTTTCTGGTTATTTTCAATGTAATGCATTAAACTCCGTTCTGTTTTCCTGCAGGAGTTTCAGCGCGATCGTTCCATCAGTGTTTTAATTTGTGCAGTTCAGTGTTTAACCTGGCGTGAGGAAACACACACTGCAGCATCTACAAATCAGTGTTTATTCATCCATTAAAGACACAGACAATGTGCTGAATGCGTCAAATCTGTCTCTTTTTCTGTCTAACAGGGGAAGCCCATCGACTTTGCCGGTGTGGATGACAGCACAGCCCGCTGGGTGCCGGTGTGGATGACAGCACTGCCCGCTGTGTGCAAGAGTTCAGCGTCAAACCCTACGCCAACTCGGCCAAGCTGGAGTCTGTCGATGGTCTGACATCTCTCTGCTTTCTTGAATCTGAGTGCATGGGTGTGCAGTATTTCTAAACCTCAGGATGTGTGTGATGTTTCAGGGGCCCGCTATCAGGCGCTGCCGGGAGCCCTGAACAATCTCGCCCACAGCGAATCCTGTCCCACTTCTCAGCAAAGTGAGGGTCTCTCACAGCTCAGGGCTTAACGCACTCACTGTGAGATGGGTTTCTTTGATTCACGTCTGTGTGATTGTAGAGCCCGTGTGTGCTGTGGGACGGGGGTAGCTGCTCTCTGCTGCGCTACAGAGGAACAGAAGTGGATATTCAGTGGCTACAGCATGACCGGGGTGAGTGATAACGTCATATCAATCAACAAACTATGGAATAGCTTCAAAAAGCTGCTGTAATGTGATGTTTTTGACAGCCCTCTGTGTTCGAGCTGCTATGTTCTGCTGAATTTGCCAACCTGCCGCTGATTGTGGAGGATTTCGTCAAAGACAGCGGTGGATCTTACACAGGTGAGGTTCATTAAAGTCATTTCAAACCTGTTTGACAATCAGTGTTGGGGAGTAACTAGTTACATGTAATGGAATTACGTAATTTAATTACAAAGTAATTACAAAATTATGTAACTATAATTTGTGTAAAATAAAGTGTAATTTAATTACAGTTACTTAGGAAAATGTTAAAGATTACAAAGGGGTTACATCTGAATATTTTCACACACTTACAGTTTTGATTGATTTCTTTCCCAAATTGCATCGACTGCTTTAAAGGGGTCATAGGATGCTACATGCACTTTTGCTCTGAAAAGAGCTGTTTTTGACAGGGTAAAAAAGGTGTTTTTTACACTACCATTGAGAAATTTTAACCAAACTATGTTACAGACTTTTCATTAAGACCCTAAAGAATCATATCAACTTGTGGAAAATGGGCATCCTATGACCCCTTTAAAATATGAGACACCAATGTTTCAGGAGTTTAGGACATGCTTATTTGATAACTGTTTTATTTCCTATTTGGGTTTGTGTAACTATTAACTATTAAACTATATCTTATGATTTTAAATCTGTATTAAACCTCTGATTAAATGATCTCAAAGTAAAAAGTGCTGCCGAAGTCTGATTTTGCGGTGGCTGTGCTTTAAAATGAAATTATTATAATCTTAATTCAAGCGAAGAAGGATTTTGAAAGTCTGACAGTAATCAGTGTTGAGTACTGTTGTAATGCAATGATTGAAAACATTTGTTAGAAATTTAGAAAAGTAATCAAATGTAATCAGTTACATTACTTTAATAAAGTAATTGAAATAGTTACACATTTCATTTTAAATAGAGTAACTTGTAATCTGTAACCTATTACATTTCCAAAGTAACCTTCCCAACACTGTCCACTATGTTGCTATATTTGGCATATATTGTCATATGTTTATCTATATAAAAGGAACTGCTCAAATTTCAGTTGTAATTAGTGCTGGGGTATTGACACAAGTCTCACAATTGGATTTCAATTCACAAACTTGCGATTTGATTGAATTTCGATTTGATTCAATATTGATTCATTTAGATATATATCAGGCACAGTACATGTCAATTTTCCCCAAAACTCTGTATATTAATGCTGTAAATACAGGGAACCCTGTCGGTTAGTATAACGCATTACTATAATATGAAAGGTTAAAATGAACAAGTATTTTGTATACACACATTTAAATCGCACCGAAGGCAGTTTTATAACATAACTTTTTGATTATGCATCTACTCTAATTCTTTCATTTTTTTGAAATATAAATATAAAACATGTTTTCATTATGGATTTATTCAAACATGCATTATGTGAACAGGCCTTAAGAATTTGAAAGCTGATCATTTGTTATATATCAAAAGTAACACATTAGTGTATTTTTGGGTGACCTTGGTATTTATGTGAAGCATTGTTTTTAGCTAAATAAAATTCATTCCTCACAGCGAGCATCGAGGACGCCGTTCACGTGGTTCTGGACCGGCATCTTGTGACAGGCCAGAACGTTCAGTCCACAACAGCGGCCGTCAATAACCTGATTCTGCTGTGCAACAGCAGATAAACGCTTCACCTGTTCAGAAGGGAACGAACAAGAGACCACATGTTTGAGAAATGACTGTTGAAAGAGTTTAGTTTATGAAATATGACTTAAAATTCCATAAGTGAAATTTTTTTCTGTCTATAAAATATGAATTTGAATGCTTTGAAAGGAGCACATGATTTATATATATATATATATCACACATATATATATATATATATACATATATATATATATATATATATATATAAAACTGTAAATGCATTTCAAAGCCATACACTGTAATAAAAGGCTTTATTTTTAACTACATTTTTAAAAAAGTTGATAAATTCACCTAGAACTTGAATACCACTTAAATGACTAAAAATCACATTTCAGCGTTTAAATGCATCAGACTTCCATTTGTTAGTGCAAACGTAATTATGAATAATATTCTTCGATTAAGAGTCAAAGATGTTGTTGTGAAGCTTAACTTTTGAACATTCCTGTAAAGTGTGAGATGGGGCAGTTTAACAGGAAATCCTGTGGTTTTTCTATCCTGTGTCTAGATCATGTTAAGAGGAAGGTGGCGCTTATGAACAACTGAGCTGTTCTGAAGGTTTGCTTCATTGTCTTTTTAATGTCCAAAAAGTTTCTATGCTGCTTTAATGTTATGAAATCAAATATGTAACATGCAGTATTATGAACATATTACAGTATGAAAAAACAAATCTGTACCTTAAATTGTATTCCTGAATAATAAAATAAGTTGCATTAAAATATGGATTTACTGTCAAGAATGCACATGATAGACGTAATTAAAAATAATTTTATTGGCATGCTCAGCAACAGTACTGTCATAAATATCTGCAGTGCTTTGATAAATTGCACTTTTGGAAGCAAATCAGACGGAGGTCAGGTCACAAAAGATCATAGAAATAGTCCAGTCCTTGTCCCAATTCCCACATGGAGATTCCTGTTCCCAGTTCAGCTGCCAAGTCCATACGAAGCTGGAGAAACTAGAGAAGAAAGAGAAAGTCCCAGAGCTGAATAATACCCATAATCCACTTTGATATCTTATACTGACCATAACAAAGTTACCTTTAAAGTGGGGTAGTAAACAACATGCTTCAGTCCGTTACAACTGAAACACAAAAAATTATTTTAGTAATTGTTCTGTAAACACTAATTAAATTATTTAACAAACTTAAGTGACTCGTGAAAATCAGTTTATTATATACTTTACATCAATTACAGACGGTCTGTGTGTTTAACCTTTTATAATTGAAGAAATGTTCTCCAGTGTTTTCGTCCCACTGCACTTCCTTCAGCAGTTCAACATACCTGAATGAAAATGAAGATTAAATATGATCTCTTGTTCTGGAAATCACTGACAGTTCAAAACTCTCATAGTCAACTTTAGAAGTAAACGGAATTTTTTTTTTTAAACTTGTACATGTAATAACATTTAATAAAATGTTATAATAAAAAATTAAATTGAATATAATTGTAATAACGTAATTTTTTTTTTCAATCTTAAGGAAAACTAAATATAGGCAACTTTCAGCCAATTCAAAGTAAAAATTTTATGAATCAAACTTGTACATTTAACAAGTT